AACCGAGCTGATTGCACCCATTAAATTCTATTTCTAAAATAAACCCTTCAGTGGAATTGTTGAAGATATTCTGGTGACAGTAAGCCAAAAAATTCGCGAAATGCTCCAGTTGCAGTGCTAAATCGTTGATCTAACAAGACTCAGCCTTTAAGAGCCAATAAATAATGTTGCATAATTAATCATAACTGTAAGCTTATGAGTGACAGTAACTATTTGAGTCATATTCAAGAGAATATGAAGATTTCTCACTGCAAGGAAAGTGATAGCTATAAAGACGATTCAATAGCGAGCTAACAAATCCCAATTGATGCTAAATATCACAAATGGTAGATGTGTTCGACGGATTGCGATGTTCGTGCCGGAGTCTAGTACACCGCTGCAGAAATTCATCGGTTGGATCACCGGGAAACGAGCTGAATTCATCGATCCACGAATTGTGGCTTCGTCAGATGGACGACACGGTAAGTGAGCCGATTGATCTTCGGGTAGATCAAACCTCACCTTTCAAATTTAAATGCAGAGATGGTTGAGAGCACCGGAACATGACTGTAAAATGGCAAAAGAGATTTTGGTACTGTTCAGCTGTCATAAATTTCATGCATAGTCCGACTGTAATGTTTCAGCGACTACTTGAAGTTATGAAGAGAATCATCAATTCCCTCGAGGAATCCTCCTAAATAATCGTTCTGAACAATTTCTATGACCGTTTCTGATAAGAACTATGATAATAAATATTATAAGTTATCAGCTCTAAGTGATGATATTATGCATGATGATTCAGTGTTCGAAAACAAGCATAATACAGGCTTATGAAATTTCAGTGACTCGAGTGCGCAGTCAAGGCTTTATCAGTGTTACGATGAATGTTGTCTTAAAAGATCTGAAAAAATATGGATATGATGTGGTGCCTTCATCCATCTCTAATGTATCGGAATTTCCACTGCCAAAATTCGATGATGTTTCTAGGGTTACCGATAAGGTCAGATACTAAATATTTCTTCAAACCCACTCTTCAATCTCTTTCATCGTTTATTCTTCCCATCTCATTGCGGTCATCTGATATAATCCGGATATGCTTTCGAAGTAACTGAATTCGGTTTCTTTCGAATTGCAAACACGAACTT